GTTTACAAAATTTTTACATTTTGTATATCTCGAAAACGGCTGATCGTAGCACAACCAAATTTCGTGTGCACAATGTCAGAACCGATTAGGTATCATCAAACTTGGTTGCTATGGCAACCGTCATCTTGCCGCCAAACGAGGCGGCAACTGATCGCATTGTTACGAAACTGATCGCAATCGATGGAGAGAATCAAACTGATGGAGACAAGTCCCTTAGCAACGGTGTCAACTATCCGGTTGCCATGGTAATCGATTTTTTTTTCCATTTCCTGTCCTATCTACAGCTTTGCTTTGTTTCGTATCGGACCATTACTGTCGTGTTTGCCACTTTGTTGTGGTCAAATTAGGTAACGACCATAACCTCACTCAAACTTATCGTTTGTCTGATAAAAATTCTAAAAGCATTCGATGCAAAATCGACTGCGCGATGACATTCGGACTGTTTATATTTTTGACATATCCGTCCGACAGATCGATTACTGGATCGCTAGACCATCGATTGGTGTTGACACTTTGCCAATTGGTTCCTAAATAACTTTGGAAAAAAATCGCAAATTCTGAAAACCATGAAACACGTTTGTGCAGGCTTTGAGTAGAATCCTGCCCATACGTTCGCTATGGTATCGATCGAACTCATAATTTCGATATAAACTTGGCATGAATACATGTCGATTTGTGGAGATTTTCAAGGTCATTCAACAAAGTTTTCGATAACCTTACTTTTCAGTGGAAAAATTTCTGATCATGCAATGTTTCGCTCAAATTTGATAGTGGGAATTTTTTTCACTATCAACTCTCTAACGGTGTCGATGCGAAAATACCTTCGCTTTCGAACAGTGTTGTCAGTTTGCAAATCGGTTCATGTTTCGAGTTTTTACAACATATTTTCGATTGTCATGCCAATCGGGTAGGGAACCTATCGAGCACTCTGGCGTCATTCGTGTTGACATTTCGAGCAAATGTCGAGTGATGACATTTGCATTATTTCGGACCGGCTACAATCTGCTGACCTTTGGTTGGTTGCCATAGTTACGCAACCATGTGCCACTGTGCTCGAAAATGACATGTCGCTGAGTCCCATCAGCTACATGTAGCTGACTTAGCTACGGATGACTTGGATCGCTGCGTCACACTTTTTCCAATAGTTTGGTATCAATTTTACAACGATCGAGCAATATTTCGATTTTTGGTGAGCATTTTTCTATCAGGGTGTATTTTTTCGGAAATTGTTTAGGCAATTTTCATGTATATTACCAGTTTTTGACAGCTGTCAAAATTTTTCCTCCACATTTTGTCTAACCACTCTCGCCACCAACTAATTGGCCTTCCGATCGATTGATCAGAATTTCAATGCACTGCAATTTGACGTTTCTGTTAATTTTTTTATGTTGAAAAACATGGAAAAGTCCCTTAGCGACACCGTTGCTATGGAGACTTTCCGGGAAACTATCACACTTGGAAATTGGAAAATGTTCCACGTCGATTTCGATTTCATGGCCAATCTTCCTGCCAGATGGGTCAATGTTGAAAGCTGTCACTGGCACACGGTACTTTCCTGTCAAAAATACCTTTTTTTTGGTTGCCACGGAAACCATTTGACAGCTGTCAAAATTTTTCCCCAAAGCGTATAAACTTTCCCATCACAAACAGATTGACGTCGTCATTCAATTGTTCAATGTCAGTTTGACAGATTGAGAACGTTTTCAATTTTTTCCCGAAAAACTTTTCAATTTCACCGTCAATATGTCCCATTTCGCATTTTTTTATCGACTTCTATGCGAAATGGTGAACTGAAGCGCCATCTATTGGCTACCGTCCGAACACATTGCCATACGGTTTGCTTTACATTTGGCGTGCCCAACACCATCTGTATGCATGCCGTCACTTTAAACTCGTGGCACCATCTAGTTTACAAAGCTTACAACTCGCCAACCTTTTATTCGGGCCCAATCGCTCTCACCACGGACAATGACTAAGAGTGAGACGGTTGCTGTGACAAGATGCTCTGTGCTCTAAGCGTTCATGGGGCGTGGCTGTTGTGACCATAACCTTGGAAAAACAGGTTTTTTGGGATTTTGCGGTGTTGCCAAATATTGATAGAATTCCAATCTACATCATACGATCTGAAATCGAACATTTCATCACACACTTGGGGTGTCAAATTTTTCACCTCATAACTGAACATAACTTCATTCCGTTTCGCATAACGAAGTTTTCAATCTTATAGCCTCAAGAGGTGACGTCAACCTCTTGAGGCTATAAAATTGGAAACTTCGTTATGCGAAACGGAATGAAGTTTTCAATTTTATAGCCTCAAGAGGTTGACGTCATGCGCGATGCGCTTGCGCACCACTTTTGGGGCGGTGTTGCCACAATGCGGATAATCGACGAATTTTATCAGATAAATTCTATATAGATTATATTTTCACGTAAGAAACGAAAGATTTATAACTTTCAATTATTATACTCTATATAACTCCAAGCGTGGTTTTTAGCCGTCTGCAAAAAATTTAATTTATCTGTATAATATTAATTCAGTTCTGATAAGAAAAAAAAATTGTATTCAAGTGGTGGAACGTTTTTTGCCGAAAGTTCAGAAGTCATGCATTGTTTCATTTTTCATCCAGWAGGATATTTATCTGAAAAGCTAAATTTGTCCCAAGAAACAACTGACAGAAACAAACTTGGACTAAATTAGGATTCAAACTTATCGTACCTAAATATTACTTTTGTAAATCTTTTTAGGATTTCTGTGTAAATCTTTAGTTGTAACTCGGACTAAATATATATATACAATGGACTTCAATTAATATCCAAAAATTCCCTGACATATTGATTAGGCAAAAATATTGCATTTCAGACAAATTTGTCCGATTTATCCAAAAGTTGATAGATTCTGAGATATAGAATGTCAAAGTTTAAAGAAAAATTGCGTTTTTCTGATCAGATTTTTAACCAGTTTTA